GGCGAACTGCACGGCGGCGACGGCCACTTTCCTCCCGGCGCCGGCCATCTCCCCTCCTCACCTACCCCTTCCTCGGCCCGCGCTGTTCCGCTTTGGCTGCTGCTGCGAAGAGATGTCAAAGATTTTAAGCGCTGAAGAAAAAGGTAGCCGCCACGGGGCCCACATGCCATGCCATGGAGGAATCCAAACTGATAGGGAGCGGGTCGAGGTTACCGGCGGAGAAGGGTGCGGCGGCCGGCGGGAGACGGGGTTCCCGGCGAGCAAGCGAGCGAGGGAGCTCCTGCCGGCGGCGGCGGGGAGGACGAGCTCTACGCGGATCCCGGCGGCGCGAGGAGGTGGGAAAGCAAAGCTGTCCCGGCGGCGGTGCTGTGATGTGGCGGAAGTGTGCAGATGGGAAAAGGAAGGCGCCTTTCAGGAAAACCGCTTTCCTTCGCTTTATACGGTAATTCCCGAGCTGCTTTTCCTTTGTTGGTGTAGTACAAATAGGCGGGCAGCCGTGGACCGGTTTTCAGTTCCGGCCATGGTTCAACGCCGGCATTCGGGTACTCGTCGGCGGCGGCGAGAAGGCCGACGCGCCGACGGTCTTTACCGGTCTATAATGGAAAATACTCAAATTTTCCTCTTTATTTGTTCATCCGGGACACGTCAGGAGGGAGGACACCATTTTAACATGACACCCAAGGCCAAGGGGCACCTCGCTCTACGTATCCATCCGTCCTTTTTATTTCAAACTCCCAAACTGAATATCCAACATCGGGCATTCAACCAAAAAAATGCTAAACGTTCAAAGTTCATCGGATACTTGCCGGCATTCACATTCAACAAAAACGAGTAAAAGGGTTACCCACACCTCAAATGGAGGGCGAAGTGGGAAAGATGGCCGCCGCCATCAGAGGAGGGGGAGTCCGAAGAATATCTAATATCGTAGTAGTCGGTGGTAGGGTATCATCGAGGGAAGCTTTTGGCGGGGACTCTCAAAGTTTTCTTCTTCCGTGGGACGCCGATGAGCTTTGGCTTTCGGCTTCATGAGGAGGTGTAGAGTGAGCCCCCCCCCTCCCCCCTCCTTAGATGGCACGATGCTATCCACCTCCCCCTCAAATGACTCGCTCATTGGTTCACTAGAGGAGGGGCGGTAGAGTGAGTCTTCCCCCTCCTTGGATGGCACGACGCTATCCACCTTCCTCTTGGGATAACTTGCTCATTGGTTCGGAGGAGGGACGGTAGAGTGCCGTTGCCGTCAGGTACATCATAGGGCCCTGACACGTCTCAGTCTTACGCCACAAGATGGCTCAGCCCCGCGGGATGGCTAAAAGTTCACCAATCCCTTTGGATTACTTTAATTTTCACAATTATGCATCTAATAACAACTCCCATGTCTATGGTCTTGCACCTGAACCATACTATATCACACAATTTTCCTCATTTATCAGGATTACCGCCTGCACCAAAAAAGTTGAGAACATGGAACAGTAATATAGCGTCGGTGTGTTGTAACACAAACAAATTTTATTCTCTCTTAACTTTTTTCAAGAAACTTTCAATATATTCATCTTTAATCATGACAGTACAACGAACACCAGAAATAATAAAAATTTACATTCATATTCGTAGACCACCTAGCGAGGACTACAAGCAATAAAGTGACCCGAAGGCGCGCTGCCATCATTGCCCCTCCCTTACCGGAGCCGAGCACAACTTGTTGTAGTAGATAATTGGAAAGTTGTCGTGCTAACACTTCATAGGACCAACACACCAGAACAACAACTGTTGTTGATGAAGAGAAGTTTAGATCGGAAGGATCCAACGCGAAGAAACATGAACAATGACGAACAAAGATTAGATCTGAGCAGATCCACCAAAGACAACCACCAACCGAATCTTGCGAGATCCGCCAGAGACACACCTCTACACGCCCTCTGACGATGCTAGACGCACCACTGGAAACTGGGCTAGGCGGGGAGAATCATATTCCATCTTCAAGAAGCTGCCATCGTCTTGTCCACATGAGACGGGGAGAATCATACTCCCGCCGGCAAGGGCTTGGATCCACCGCGCATCCATGGCCCTAAGGCCACATGAGACGTGGCAGATCGGCACCGCCGCCGGAACGCAGAAATCCTAGTCGTCTTTCCTTGGAGGAGAGACGCAAGGACGAAAGAAAAATCCTAGCTGTCTTTCCTTGGAGGAGAGACGTAGGGACGAAAGAAAAATCCTAGTTGTCTTTCCTTGGAGGAGAGACGCAGGGACGAAAGAAAAATCCTAGCTGGACCATCAAGGTTTAATCAACTTTATTCTCTCTTAATTAATAGACGAGGCAAATATTTTGCCTTAGTTTTGGAAAAAAAATTAGAACCTAAAGAAGTTCATGTGCACACATGAGCACCGAATCGCCGCTTCCAATTTTAGGATGCTTCCAATAATAACCCCGCATTGTACGCTGCACAACCCTGTATTGTGTTACCTTAAACCTTGTTTTTCATGAATGGATCGGAAGTTTCCTGAAAAAAAGAACCTTGCTCATCATGAGGATCCTGTTAAGTTAAATAGTACTCCCTCCTTTCCTAAATATAAGTCCTTTTAGACATTTCAAAATGAATACAACATACAAATGTATGTAGACATACTTTAGAGTGTATATTCATTTATTTTGCTTTGTATGTAGTCACTTGGTGGAATCTATAAAAAGACTTATATTTGGAAACAGAGGAAGTACAACTTTGGAAGAAGTTTATGTGCATACAGATTTCCAAAGAACCTTCTTGCATGTGCACACAAGTTTAGGTGCAACAGCAATCAGAGAAAATGCCGCCCGACAACACCAACGAACATGAGGCAGGCCAGTTGCATTGCTCAGTTGCATTGCATCTGTCAAACCTAAACCCTAAACAGTACTGCAGTCAACACAAAGAATGTGTCTTCATGTCCCAGGCCAAGACCCGGCCCGACGTCATTTGCTCTGTGGGCTAGGACACGTCTTTGAGCGTGGTTGGCATGCGAGTTAATTACTACTCCCTCCGTCCGGAAATACTTGTCATCAAAATGAATAAAAGGTCATGTATCTATACATATATTAGTTCTACATACATCTTTTTTTATTTATTTTGATGACAAGTATTTTTGGACGGAGGGAATACCTCTAGTGACCTAAAAACGTTTACAGAGGGATTACATTGGAAGGGGATGTTGTGGCTTGTTTTTGGCGTGGTTTCTGTAGCTGTAATGCTCCTTGCCGATGTGCTCACGTACTTTGGTGGGGCTCCATCCCTAGTTTAGCTCGGTAGGGTGATTGTGTACTTGTGTTGTAGGAGTATGTGTTTTCAGTTCAGTTTTCCTTTAGTTAATCGAGTTTGCCTCAGTTTTCAGCCAAATCTGTTTTTTCTTAATGAATACACAGGGCTCCTTTCAGCTAGTCGGAAAAATAGCCTGCTGTTTCTTTTTTTGAAAGACCTAGCTTTAAGGAGTTGGTGTTTTCGTGTTAATCATAGCAGGGGGAGATGCGGGAAAGACAGGGGCATGGCACTGATCCACAGATCAGAGATAGAGAAAACAACGAGGGAAAGAAAGGGATAGCTTTGATATTATCCTCATCTTCGGATTATGATCTTGACACTTTAATAAAAGAAGGATCTCATCTGGCACGAGCGTGTGTGCACGCCTGCTCGTGTATTGTAATTTGGAGGTTACTTTTATACTGGAGTTGCAAATTGAATCCAGCCATTAAGAGCATGGTTAATAGTATAGCCAACCGCTGGCTATAAGAAAGTGCTACAGCTGACTCTTGTATGAGAGTCCACTTACATTATCTCTCCTATCCTTTCTTCTCCAATTAAGCATAGAAATGTTAGTTTACTCCTTACAGCATGCGGACTGTATCTTATTGTACTTGCTCTAAAATTTACCCGTGGGTCAATCCTCTATTCCCGAGCGTTTGAATCAGCTGGTGTAGGGTGGGTGCGAATCTGGTGACGTTGATTCTGATGTCCTGCTCCAGCCAGAAATACTGCCTTGTCAACTCCCACCCCTGCTTATGTATCGACTCTGGGTCACTGATCATCGGGTGGTCCTTGCCGTACTTCTCATAGAGCGTGCTCTCCTCGGCGGCGATGTTGTACTCGACGTCTTGCAGCATCATCTCCTTGGCCTGCACGCCGAAGTACCGCATGGCCGTGTCCACGCCCCATGGCACCACCTGCAGCATGGCCGCGCCGGTGCGGAGGAAGAAGAAGCTTGTGAGCGCGGCCCCGTGCGCGCCCATCAGCACGTCGCACGAGTCCACCACCCGGGAGAACTCCTCCAGCCTCAGGTCACGGCTCGGTTCCTCGACCAGCACCTCGAACCCGGCCGCCTGCACCGCCGCGGAGATCTCCGGAACGTTGACGAACTTCCTGTTCCCGACACGGTTGATGAGCATGAGCCGTGGCTTCTGTTTCTCCGTGTCATCGTCGATGATGTCGTTCTTCTTATTGGCTTCCTTGTACGGGGTTCCTTGGCTGTCCGGTGGGAGCGAGAAGATGTCTCGGATGTACAGGCGGAAGTCCAGCATTGTGTAGTTGCGCGGTGTGCGGGCCCGGTCGATGCCAAGATCGCGGTGGCTGCGGAGACCGACTGTGATGTGCGGGTAGCACCGGACGCCAGCGTCCTTGTTGAAGTCGACGATGTCATAGCGTGACAGGTTGGTCAGGATGAGGCGGTACTTGTCCACGAACCACGGCTGGATCTCGGTGACGAGGAACTGGACCTCGCCGTCGTAGGCACGGGTCGTGATGAAGAGCGGGATAAGGACGTCGCTGAAGTCATGCCATGGGTTGGATGTAAGCCCATTCATGGCAAACACGACGGCCGGGACAGCGTGCCAGGAGGTGCACTCTGGCGCCACGAGGGACTGAGCGGCGCTCAGGGTCTTGACATTCACCTCGATGATGTCCACCAGTCCCTTGCGGGACTGGTCCTTGATGGCCCATTCTTGGCTGTCATTGTCGCGCTCTTCGGCAGGCGGGACATATAGTACGGTACGGTTGACACCGATGGCACGGACGTCGCCGGAGATCTCGCAGATGTCATATCTGGGGTCGGACAGGTCGCAGATGGGCTTCCCCGGAGCACCTGCATGCATGCAGCCGATTGAGGTGTTACTCATTCAGATGATAATGAAATGAAATGAAATGGGGTATATTTTAACGCATTTGAGTTTGTGGCAGAAGCAAAGCTAACCATGTTTGACGTTGCTTTCATTATTCCCATCGCCGCCGTTTTGCCGAGTGAGATATCCCTTGTCACTAGCATCATTTGTTGGTTGGCCTAAATGGTCTGTTTTATCTGTTTGCGCGTTACCTGAATTGTAAAATTTGTGAAAAGCTGGTCAATCAGTAGTTAAATTAACTGCATGGGACTAGCTAGAGGAGAGATGGTACATCAACGGACGATTATGGGCTTATTACGGGATGAGTTTGAGTTGTCAATCTATGATTGGAT